GGAGGAGAACCCTAGCATTCCCCTAGTGCATAATCATTCCACATTTCCGCTGCCTTGATGCATAAACAGCCCACACTTATCATGCAACCTCCTGCTATCCGACCTCACCATGTCCCACTCTCACTATAAACCCTCTCAGCATTCACACGCGTGGCATGTCAGAAAGTCCTAAAAAACACTCTGAAAAAGAACCTCACCAATGAGCTCACTATACCACCCTCTAGCAGTCACTGCGTTGCCTTGCGCCTCTCTTATAGGTTTCACTACTGTTCTGGCACTGCAACGGCCTTACCACTTTTGAAGCGCCTCTAAAGCTCGTAACCTTGCACATACACACAGACCTTGCCACTCACCATGCTGCTGAACAGACAGACACACAGACCTTGCCACTCACCATGCTGCTGGTTTTGGATTTGCAGGTGAGCTTATGAAAGGGCCAGTGTGCCTTTTGGCACACTCTGCTGCAATACGCCACCTTGCCACACCCACCGCAGCTCCTCAGCTTCACTGCACCACCCTCCGCCAACTCACACCCCAGAGCACCGCACATAGCCGCTCCCAAACGAGCAGAATTACAGTCTTTTGCGCTGGTTTTCCTCTGCCGAACTGAGCCTTCAGGAGCTAATTTACCAGCAACTGTGCCGTTCAGCAGGGTCCCTGTGCTCCCAGCAGCAGGGGAAGAAACAACAGGAAAGGAAGGGCAGTAGCAGGGTTCCCCCAGCAGCATCTCTCGCAGATATGCCACCAGATTGACTCCCCCCGGCCATGCCTTCAGGTAAGCCGCCTCTTCCTCCTTCTTACCCTTCCCCTTATTGCCACCACCCCACCCCCACCAACTACCACCCCCGCTCCTGCTGCCGCTGCTGCTCCTGCCACCACTGCTCCTGCCACCACTGCTCCTGCCGCTGCCCCTGCTACTGCCCCCCCTCCTACTACCACTGCCAGACCCTCCCCCATCGTCCAGCTCCTCACAGTACCGCGTCTCAACAGCCTTCTGCCACATCTTGGCACCTCTTATCGTCTCCCCCTCACCCAGGTGCTTGCTGCCCTCACATGCCTCCCCCAACCCAGCTCCCACCAGCCTTAGGCTTGCCTTCCAAGCCACCATTGCTGCCAGGCACCATGACCGCACCTCTTCCCACACCTCCCCACACTCGCCCACCACTTCCCCTCCACCATCTCGCTCATCCCTGCCAGATCCACCCCCCCTCCGTCCTCCCCTCCTCCCTCTCTTTTCACCTTCCTTCCCTGTCGCCCTCCTCCCCTCTCTGCACCCCTCTCCACTCCCATCTCCGCTCACTTCATCCCACCCCGCCTCATCCAACTCCTCTATCTGCAGCACGGCTTTCGGCCATCTGAAAGACACAAGCAGCAGAAACAGCACCGGAAACTGCTCAGCCAGCTCTCTCACCACATGCAGGTTCAGCAGGGCAGGCACGTCCGTGGGCAAGGGTTCCATTTGCAGGTCAGCCAAAAGTTCGTTGAACTCCGGGGAGTGCGGGGGAAAGACCGATACAAAGCGGTTAAAAAGGGCGCTGGCGGGTTGATAGGCGAATGTGGCAATCAGCGTGAGGGCGGGGAGAAAGCAGGTGAAAGTGTTGAAGCACTTGCTGCAGCGAGCGCAGGCTGGTGGGGATACCAGGTGACCTGCAAACTCCACTAGAAACTCGGCGTCTGCAGTGCAGCGAACTATGGGGATCTTTTGGTTTTGAGGAGCCACGGAAGCTGCCAGAGCTTCTGCAAAGCTCGGTGCGTTGTCTCCGTACGCTGTGCCCCTGCCCACCCCGCTTCCACTACCCCTGCTAGCGTTCCTGCTAACCCCCCCGCCTCCTCGCCCGCGCATGGCCCGCCCTGTCCTTCCGGGTCTCCCTACTGTATTCCCTGCCTCCTTAGATGCCTTTCCCCCACCCTCCTCTCTCGACCCGCTCTCTTTCACTACCCCCAGTCGAAAGCATCTCGCACTCAGGTCCTTAGGAAGCTTCGCAGCAGCTTCATCGCCCCGAGGCCACTCCTCCCACTCCAACGGGAAGCTGCCTTGGTCAAGAGGCTTGGGTATGGCGCCGAGCCTGACCAGCAGGCTCGGTAGGTCCCGAAGCGGGTGGCGCATGGGCCGGACCTTCCCCTGTGTGTTCTTTTTGAAACACTGTTTACTCGGGATGAAATCTGAGCCGTAGATTCTAACCCACTGCAAGATGCAAGTGGCTCGATATGTGAAAGCAGCAACCACAGGGTTTGTATTGACAGGTGTAGCCTCAGCTGTAGAGGATTTTATTGCTACATTCGGTGCTGCTGTAGCTGTAGCAACTGTAGCAACTGTAGTGCTCTTATCAGCTGCGGCAGCTGTAGCGGTTGCTGCCGTCATAACAGCTGAATCAGCTGTAGCAGCTGCCACTCCTCCACCTCCTCCTCCCCCTCCCCCTCCCCCCCTCGCCCCTCACCCTCGCCACCCTGTCTCTACCGCCTCTACCCCCCACCTCCCGTCACAGCCTCTTTCTGGCCTTCTCAATAGCTGCGTCCTCTATCCGTGTCTTGTTGGCGTTGTTCCCATCCACAAAAAATACCTGCCCTTCCTTGCGGCACTCTGGCTTGGAGAGCACTGAGGCCACTGCAAGGGCCAAGTCAGTGGCGCCCACGCCACTCACATACATGCCCTTGGGAATATCCCTGCCTTCGGTGTTGCTGCCACCTGCATCAGTGCTGCTGCTGTTGCTGTCCCTGCAGCTGCTGCTGCTACCACTGCAATCGCTTCTGCTGCTGCTGCTTCTCTCACTGCAGTGGCTGCACCTAAACTCACTCCCGTTCCTGCCTCCCTTTTCTAGAATCCAAGCCATGCCATCCACATACCTCTCCCACACACGCCCCTTCAGATGCTCCCTACACTTCTCACCCTTCCCATCCCTGCCACCCTCACCATCTCTCCCCTCCGCCCCTTCACCAGCCATCCCCCCACCACCGCTGCCTCCCCATTCCCCTCCATTCCCAGCCTCAGCCGTCCCCACTCCCCATTCCGATGCCTCCCCATCCCCAGCCTCATCCCCCCCACCCATCCACCCCATCAGCCCATCTCCCTGACTCCCCACACCCCTCCTGCCCCCGCCCCCGCCCCCACCACCCACGGCACTCAGAAAGCTATCCATGGCCGCGCCTCTGTCCAGATTCAACATGCCGCTCACCTCTTCGCGTCTCACCCCTCCCCACGCACTGCCCATCATCCCGTATAATTCCTCCTCCATGCCCCTTCCACCGCCCCCATCTTGCCCCATGCCCGTTCCGCAGCCCTCTTCACCCCCCATGCCCCGTCTGCTGCCCCTGTCTCCCCCCATGCGCCTTCCGCTGCCTGTTTCTCCCCCCATGCCCCTTCTGCTGCCCCCGTCTCGCCACGAGCCCATTCCAGCCACAACTTCGTCCCCCATGCCGCTTCTGCCCTCCACCGCTCTCGTCATGGCTTCAGCCATCAGTCGGATCCCCGTCTCCCACGACTCTTCAGGGCTACCTAGCTGCGGAAATATCACAACCTCTCTAGCAACCCTACCGCCCCCCATCCCCCCTATGTCCGCACCATGCCCCAGTTGCCCCATACCCCGGCCTCTTGCATCCTGCCCTCCTGCTCGCCCCCTTCCTTTCTCCTCTCCATGCGCCTTCTCCAGCCCGCCTGACAGCAAATGCTGCACAAAGAACCCAAACCCTTCCTTCAGATCAGCACTCTCCTTCACCCCCAGCACCTGCACCAGCAGGGAGGCAAATGAATCGTCCTCCTGCTGCTTGCCCGCGCCCAGCTCGGCCACAAGGGCTGGAAAAAACGCGTCGTGGGAGTCCATGTGGGCCCTCCATAGAGTCACGAAACGGGGCCACCTCGCTACAAGCGTGAGGAAGGCAGCGAAGCTGACAGCACGGCGGTAGGCAGCCCAGCAACTGCTGCAGCGCCAGCAGCAGGACCACGCAACAACAGGAGCAGCAGAATCAGTAGGAGCAGAATGAGCAGAAGAAGTTGAGGCCTCGTTAGAAGCAGTCCCGACAGCCAGAATGGCAGGCAGGCGGGATCTGATCCTCCCCAGGTCCATGAGCACGCCCACACGAGGCTCAGCCATCCACTCGAGCAGCATGGCTTCCGCACAAACAAACGGCGCCCGTTCGCATTTCCAATGGAACTGAATATAATCCGGCGCACCCCCTCTCCCACCCAACGCCTCCACAGGTACCCGTGAGGCGAACTCGCGAATTGCTCTGGATTGCCTGTTTGGCGCCGCAGCAGGGACGGAGGGAGGCAAATGTGTGTGCAGGTGGAATCGGAAATCTTCGAGGGACATCATGTTGAGAGCTCGCTGCGCTCAGTAGCTCACGGCGCGGTCGAAGCAGCACTCGCATTGCTCTAGCTCCCAGCCGTCTCGCACGTCGAGATAGTGAACCATGTCCGCTCGACACAGCAGCTGAAACTTCCCCGCCGATGCTTCCTCTGTTCCCGGTTTTTCGCCGGATCCCCCTCCGTTCTTCCGCGTTGCTGGGCCTTCACCAGTTAATTCCTCCCCTTTCGTCCCTTCACCAAGTGGTTCCTCCTCTTGGTAGACCCATGTTCTCAGCCACTTCTTGACGTCCTCTGAGAGCGGTTTATTCCACCATGCTTCCCTTAAGGCTGCCTCCTTCGCCGCTTCAGAGAGGAATGTTGGAAACGCGGAAGGCCGGCGACGCATCTTGATACTATTACACTGAACAGGGTGTCGTCGTATTCTCAAGTGTTAAAAAACGTATGACCCGGTTTCGCAGCTGTCGCGTATCAGTCGCACCGAAGGAACTTCGTAAGAAGACACCTTGGATCCTACAAAACTATAATTTTACATAACAAATGCCGGTAAGCCAACTCCATCGATGCGGAGAAGCTTCACTGAATCATGGCAAGGAGGGAGTGCCTGACACTATGCAGTGAAAAGAGCAATGTTGGGATTTTCTTGAGTCGGAATTCTGAAAGTCAGGCCTGGAGAGGTGAAGCATCAAGAAAGTTCAAATGTGAAGCTCAAGTTTGCTCCGCAACGAGGGGCTGTGATTGGTCACTTGGGTTCGGCTCGGCTTGTTTCGTGTGGTGTGGTTTGCTTCGGGTTAGCTTCGGGAAGGTACTGGTAAGGTTGTGCTTGTTTTGGCGCGAAAAAACAGGCTTTGAGGGAAGTGGCTCGACAACTTCAGGAGCTAGGTGGACGAACTCCAGCAGATGAAGTCGAGCTCACGATAATGGTCGAAGCTCGACGAAAAGATTTGTGGACAATGTAACTTGCAAGAACGAAACATTTTCCTCGCAGCAACCTGCAGAGAAACGGACCAGGAGTGAAGCGTGAGATAGACCGTCCGGACGCGAGACCAGGATTCCACTCCTTCCCTGTCTGAGGACCAGGATACTACTTCACCTCAGCAGAAACCAAGCCGCTTCGGGTTTGCGCTACCGCTTTAGTCATTCTTTGTCAGGAGTGAAGCGTGAGATAGACCGTCATAGAAGATCAGTGTGAGAGCTTTTAGTTGAAGCGAAAAAACACTCAGTGAGGTGTGGTGACGAGGAGACGCATCATCAAGTTTACTCTATTTTAGACCACCCTGGCTAGCAGCAGCTGTCATCGGCAAGGCAAGGCGCCGCATGCGATATAGTCAAATCGCGGCATTGGTCTGTCGCGAGACCTTTCTTGCGCGACCTTTCTCGCGAGACCTTTCTTCTCGCGCTTACTCTCACTCACCACGTTTACGCCGCGGCCTGAGTGCTCCCTTTCCCAAGAAAACCACCTACTAGGAGTCCGAGTTTCAGATTGCACGAAGTTGGATTCAAGTCGAATCAACTAACCACGTGGCTGCCGTTTCGTTGTGTCGCTCGCCGCACCCAGGCATCGGTCGCTCGCGCGCCACGTGCCGGAATTCGTAGCCTTTCCGAAGTTGCGGGTGCGCCACTTGGCCCGTTCAGCGCGGCGGGTGTTAGTGCGACCAGCGATGGCGGCGCGAGAGGTGACGGTGGTGTTCGGCGAGGAGCGGTTCAATATGGGAGTGGAGGTCGATATGGGCGTGGAGGTGAGGCGATGGGGGGGGTGTGGGAAGGAGGGACGGCGGGAGCAGGGCGGCGGGAGCAGGGCGGCTGGAGTAGGACGGCGGAATCGTGGATGGATGATGGAGAATTGTAAATGGTGGGATGGGAATGTGAGGATGAGTTTGGGCATGAAGGGGAAAGAAATGCAAACGCCCCTAGACAGACCTCACGGCGGATGAGAGGGACAGAGGCGAGAGAGGGACAGAGGTGAGAGAGGGACAGAGGCGAGAGAGGGACAGAGGCGAGAGAGGGACAGAGGCGAGAGAGGGACAGAGGCGAGAGAGGGACAGAGGCCAGAGAGGCCTGAAGCGGCTCGTTTCCTGAGGAATTGAAGGAGAGAGAGCGCTATAAAGCTTCAGTTTTGAGGCGCCTCAAAACTAGGCTCGTTTCATGAGGAATAGGAGGAGAGAGATGCTCTGGCGAAGCCGCGAAGGTTGCAAGAGCTGTACCTCTGAGGAAGGCAACTCAAGAGAGGCGGATTTTGGCCTATTCTCTAACTGTTTCCAACTGGTTTCATGCGTCCAGCCCAACTAGCTTAGCCTCGTCATGCTGTGGAGAGGAAGCTGCTTGTCTGCTACAAGTCCTGGTTGTGATTGCAGTCCTGGTTCAGGTGATTGTAATGCTGGTTCCCCTTATGGCATTGTGTTCACTCCCCTCCATACATATACTCACCCCCACCTTGTCTTCCGATCTGCATCCTCCCTCCCTCCCTGCGGCCACCTTTTCTTTCCTTGTCGTCGTCCTCCCTGTTTCTTTTTTAAATGGGTGAGCTACCTGTCATCGTGTCCCCTCCCCACCACCACACCTTCTGTAACACCCCAGGCTATTATAATGGAGTTACAAGGCTTTTATAATAAATCACAATACAAGATGAAGCTCTAGCTAGCTCCCAATAGCCTTTGAGGTGCCAATCTTCTTGAAGGAGTTGTTGAAATAGCTTGAGAGAATTGTGTAGGAAGGCTTGTGAGAGAGCCCAAAAATGACTTAGAAAAACAATCCCATTTCCAATTGTTTAGTTGGAGTGGGAGGTTGAGAATGAGCTTGCTTAGCTCAGACCCCCTCAATACACCCCTTGGGGAACTATCCCAACCAGGGTTTCCATGGTGGGATGGTTCCTAGGCTTGGAGCCTATGTGGCAATTGTGTTGGGTTGGAAAACCCAACTTAGAACCATTCAATGGTTGTGTTTAAGATAGAGTAGATTGTAACAATTGTTTGGCAGTTTCTGATTGGTTGGAATTCCAACCTTTGTGATTTCACTTTGATGGGTTGGAATGTTCCAAGCCTCAATGTTGAGGTTTGGATAAACCCAACCAACCCTTCCTTCCCAACCCCTCCTTCCCAACCCCAACTACAATCTCCTGCAACTCAACCTTCATCGAGTTCAATCTCGAATGGTTGCCTTAGGAGTGAGGTAGCTCGATAGGTAGGAGTAGGGGATGCGTTACACCTTCTGCCTCATCTGGTCCCCAATTCCCCTTATGACCACCCCTGCACCCCTTACGACCACCCCAGCACCCCTTACGACCTATGTTGGAAAATACGCGTATGGCGTACGGAACGCATACGAACTATACGGTATCGTACATACGCGATACGCAATTTTCCAGCGTACAAAAAACCTCGAAATACGGTGCGTCGGGCAGGTTAAAAATCTCTAGGGCAGGGGAAAAACATTTCGGTTGACGTAGAATGCTTATAGGGAAAGAACTTAAGCAATACTTGATGCGGATAACTCCCGTGGGGTTTACGCCAGTATGAAATTGTTGGCTAGAATCGTCCTAATATTGCGGTTGCTAAGATCTGCAATGCAAGTGACGCGACGCCGCTGCTAGCAATAGCAGTAAACTTGGCGTGAGCCAAATGAGATTCGCTGTTGTACTCACGCCGACGTGCGAGCAGCTCGTAAGGGAAGGTTGGGTTTGGGAGGTGGTGTGAGGTGATGTGCGGTGGAGGGGAGGGGAGGGGGGCATTCGAGTTTCGAATCTCAAAATTAGGTTTCACAGAATTGCAGATCGCGGAATCAGCGGCAACAGATTTTTTCTCTTTTTTTTTCAGGCTGCCCGACGAAACGTATCGCGGATTACGGAACGTATCACGTTTTTCCGTATATACGTTCTCGTATAAACGTGATACGCGTAGAAGCCCGAGCGTTTTTTCCAACATAGCTTACGACCACCCCTGCACCCCTTATGACCACCCCTACACCCCTTATGACCACCAATGCACCTCTTATGACCACCTCTTCTCTCTACTGCCCCGTCGTTCTTCCCTGTGCTAGCCCTCCCTCCCTCCCCTACTCCTGCCTCCTCGGCCTCCCATTGTGTCTCCGCTGTTACACCCCGACCTGCGCCTTCCAGTCTACACTCCTATGAACACTCCTTGCATATCTGCCCTCCTCTGTCTTTGTCCCCACCATGCAAGTAGGTGGACTCCCCATCATGCCCTCGCTCCTGCAGCCCCACCTGTGCTGCTGCCCCCTTCCAGTCCACACGCATATGAACACGCCTATGAGCACGCCTATGAACACGCCTATGAACATGCCTATGAACATGCCTTTGAACATGCCTATGAACATGCCTATGAACATGCCTATGAACATGCCTATGAACATGCCTATGAACATGCCTATGAACACGCCTATGAACATGTCTATGAACATGCCTATGAACATGCCTATGAACATGCCTATGAACATGCCTATGAACATGCCTATGAACCTATGAACATGCCTATGAACACGCCTATGAACATGCCTATGAACATGCCTATGAACACTCCTTGCCTATCTGCCCTCCTCCGTCCTTGTCGCCACCATGCAGGTGCCAGGTGGGTGGTCTCCCCATCATGCCTCCGCTGTTGCACCTCCGCCTGTGCCATCTGACCCTGAGGCGTACAGGGATTGTGGGTGGTCTCCCCATCATACCTCCGCTGTTGCACCGTGCAGGTTGAATCAGCTGAAGAACACTCAAAACATGGTCCCGCAAATAAGGCTCTAATGTTTTAGATTGTCGCAATCTACAAGCCTCGATGGCGCAGTCGGTAGCGCGTAGGTCTCATAGCATTCCGACTCCCGGTTTACTGGGCGGAGCCATCCTAAGGTCGTGAGTTCGATCCTCACTCGGGGCAAACATTTTGCTCGATGGTAATTGCTAGTGGCAGTAGCAATGACAGCTTGTGGAGAGAGGGGTGGCGGTTTTGGCTCTTCTGCTAGTGATGGTTTTGGCTCTTCTGCTAGTGATGGTTTTGGCTCTTCTGCTAGTGATGGTTTTGGCTCTTCTGCTAGTGATGGTTTTGGCTCTTCTGCTAGTGATGGGTCTGGCTCTTCTGCTAGTGATGGTTCTGGCTCTTCTGCTAGTGATGGTTCTGGCTCTTCTGTTGCTGCCAGCAAAGGTACCCCTGCTAGTGATGGGAGCAGTACTTGCAGCTGCAGCGGGACAGGGGAGCAGCAGCAGCGCACAGGAGGGGGGTCAGGGTGGGTGATAGGGGTGAAGGAGTGTGAACCTCCAAAAGAAGTAGCGGCAGGGGTGGAAGGTTGGAGGTACGAAGAAGGGGCTGTGCTGGCAGATGTGACGATGCAGGCAGCACAAGAGGTGCTGCCACATGTCAAGCAGGCATTGGAGCAGATGCGGGCCGGGAACGGTGGGGATGGAGATGCATCGTGGCTGCAGGGATTGGTGCAGCATGAGAGGGTGTGTGGTGGCATGGTATCAGCTGATGGGGAGAAGGCACTCAATGAGATGGTGAGATAGGAGTGCTTGTTGTATCACACTTGAGAATTCTCATAAGTGATGGTTTTGGCTCGGGTGTGCTTGTATCAGTTCTGAGATTCTCAAGTCAAGGTGAGATGGGAATGTGCAGTTGTGGAGGGCAAGATTGGCTCTGTGTCACTCCTGCCAATGGTGGGCTGGCAGGGTTAGGGCTCGACTCAGTGAATGCTCTCTCTCTCTCTCTGTACCATGAGTATGTGCGTCTCACCCGATGCGGCAACTTTTTAGTCGACTAAAAAAACGTCCAAGTTGGGGAATGCCCTCTCACTCGTGACTTTCTGCGTGTCAGCTGATAGGGATAACGCACCGAATGAGATGGTGAGATGAGTGTGTTTGGCTGTGGGTGGATGGCAGGATTGGAATGACAATGTTTCACTGGGTGGATTTGATGCCATCTCAATGGCTCATGGGAGAATGCATCCAATGAGATGGGTGTGGCTGAGTAGGTTCGTGACCTGGTGACCCACTCAAGGTGACTTTTGAGTCGACTCAAAAGATGGGTGTGGCTGAAAAGGTTCGTGACCTGGTGACCAGGTGAATAGGATGGGATGCCGTCGTTGTGCATGCTACCGTGTTTAGAGTCGACTCAAAACAAGGTTAGTGACCTGATGCTTTGCTCAGTGAGAAGGTGAATAGGATGGGATGCCGTCGTTGTGCATGCTACCAGGTGTAATGAGCATCCGTCCATCCCTCCATCCGTCTGCCCTCCCAGGCCGTATCGGCATGCGATGCATTGCTGCACTCCAAATGGCTACACCATGAGGGAGAGAAAGGTACGCCGCTATGATATGTCATTATGAGTTGCCATACCATGCCGTAAAATGCCCGCCATGCCACGCCATGCCATCTGATGACATCCCACGCCATTCATGTGCTTCGTTGTGAGTGCAATCTTGAGCTCCATCCAGCTCATAACATCAGACCAAACGTTCTTGTCTTTTTGTGAACGCTCTTATTGCAGTTACTCATGAGAAATATCTAAAATGACTTAAAACGTTCTTGTCACTTTGTGAACGTTCTTATCGTTCCGGTGGCACTCCCTTCAGGTGCCTGGCTACAGTATCGGCTCAGTGGCCCTGCTCCTGTTACAGTCAATATGTATTCAATCACATCGGCGAATGATTGCCCAGAGAGGGACCCCTGCTGCTGGTGAGTTTCGCATGAGCTCATGAGACATGAATGGTGATGAGACATGAATGGTGATGAGACATAACAAACATTCGTGTTTCTTGGCTGTGCTAAACCGCCTCCTGTTTAAAGCACCATAAATACATGTTTCTGATGAGCACATTCTCTCAGCTGAACATCCCATTCTCTGTATCAGGTAGCGAGCCAGCAAGGATGGCGGAGAAGCTTGGAGCATTTACAGGCTAAAGACTATGTGGATATTACATCACCTAAAACATGTCACTCTGAACAGTCTGGTCCGGTGTGATAAATAAGAAATTCAGACAAATTCAGCAAGAAATTACCGTGTCATGTGGCAACCCCTAATCCAATCTCTCCTGATACAAACCGTCACATTTCTGCATCACGTGTGTGGGATTTCAAACATTCTTGGTGTCCGCATCCTCAGCTTCTCCAGCATTGTTGGTCCTGTGCTGGAAGGGACTGTCTGCCTTGGAGATGCAGTGGAAGAAGGTTCACCACTTTCTACTTTGCCAGAGACTGACTTCACAGCTGCTGCCTTTGACTCTGGAAACGCAGAAACAGTACCGGTATACTGAAGGCGGAGCAGGCAAAAACGCAACGCAATCTGAAGCCGGTCGGGGATGTCGAGAAATGTGGTTCGTCGGATCTTGAGATCGGATGAACGATACTTGTCAACAGAGTTGGAAAATACAAGCAGACCAGCTGAAGTTCCATGCAGTCTTTGTAAACCTGGTAGGCTGGTACCGTATCTTGGATGTGAAATATCGGTATTCCAACCTTCTTGTGCTGCATGCGAGCCACTCTAATGGGTAGGGTACCAGAAGGACCTTGAGGAAAGCTCATTGGCACGCAAACAACTAGATAATTCCATAGATGTTTGCAGACACCCACTCTCGCCAGCATATACCGTAATGCTGTCATTTTATTTAACTTGAATATCTTGAAAACACAGGGGTGTGATTACCGTAATAGTCTCCGGTCATTGTTTCGATTTTTTTTGCAGCCACTTGCTGTCACGAAATCTGTGTAGGTCCAGAAGAGAGAAGGGTAGCGGGGGCATGGAGAAGAGACAGAAAATGCATTTAGAGGCATGCATGATCAATTGGACAGAGGAAACCAATGCACATGTGTGGACATTGTTCACCTAGCCCAGCCATGTGGGAGGCAATTGCTTCACATTGCCTTGTTTGCGGCTTCGTGGAGAACTTGGTCACCACTCCTCTCCACCACTCAGCGTTGGGGAAAGTAAGGACACACCACTGATTTATCTTTAGCTCTCCCTACCTGTGCTTGCTGCTGTCCGTAGTCTCTCACATTGCCACTCACATTGCCACTCACATTGTGGCACTCACATTGCCACTCACATTGTCACTCACATTGCCACTCACATTGCCACTCACATTGTCACTCACATTGTCACTCACATTGCCACTCACATTGCCACTCACATTGTCACTCACATTGCCACTCACATTGCCACTCACATTGTGGCACTCACATTGCCACTCACATTGCCACTCACATTGCCACTCACATTTCCACTCACATTGCCACTCACATTGTCACTCACATTGCCACTCACATCGTGGCACTCACATTGCCACTCATCTTGCCACTCACATTGTCACTCACATTGCCACTCACATTGCAACTCACATTGCCACTCACATTGTCACTCACATTGTCACTCACATTGGCACTCACCTTGCGCTCACCTTGCCACTGGTCGTCCCACTCTTCTTGCCGCTGGTCCTGCCGGGGCATGTGAGCTTGTGGGAGGGCCAGTGCGCCTTTTGGCACTCTCTGCTGCAATACGCCACCTTGCCACACCCGCCACAGCTCTTCAGCCTCACACCGCCACCACCCCCCACCGTCCCACACCCCACAGCACCGCACACACGCTCCCCACCACTAGCAGCAGGACCAGTGCCACGTGCAACCGCAATGGGTGCACTTGCGTGGTCCGGTGTGGCACTGGAGGATGGAGCAGCATGGGAGAAAGGGGCAGCAGCAGCAGCACAAGCGGATGAGGAAACATGTGCGGAAGAGGCAGCAGGGGTGGAAGGGGCAGTAGGGGAGGCAGGGCGGTAGCATGGCTCCCCCAGCAGCATCTCTCGCAGACAAGCCAGCAAATTGACTCCCCCTGGCCATGGCTTCAAATAAGCCGGCTCATCCCCCTGCTTGCCCTTCCCATCATCCCCCTTCGTCCGTCGACCCCCATTGTCACTGTCATTTCCGTGACTATAGCTGCTGCTTCCGAAGATGTCGCTGAGATTGCTGCTTTCACTGATAATTTCAGAAAGCCTTTTCTCACTGTCAACGTCTTCACAGAACCTGGGTTTGGCAGCCCTTTTCCACAGCTTGCGCCACTTGTCACTCGTAACCTCCTCTCCCTGCACTCCATCCCTTGCGGCCCGCTCCTCTCTTCCCTGGCACGTGTCACTCAGTGCCTCGGCCTCCAGCTTCATGCTGCCCTGCCATGCAAACTCCACCGCCAGCCACCACATCTGCACCTCCTCCCACACCCTCCCGTCCACTTCCTCTCCGTCTCGCAGCTTGTGTAGGTCCTTCCGGTCGGTGATTCCCAGAATGGGGGCAGCCCATTTTGGAGCCACGGCCAAGAGGAAGAGCACGGGATCCAGCTCTGCCTGATTGTGCAGCAGAGCCGACCTTAGAAAGCCCGGCACGCTGGCAGGGAAAGGCGGCACGCCCATACGAGCAGCGACCCGGTCGAATTCGGGTGAGAGAGGCGGGAAGAGGGATACAAAGCGGTTGAAAATGATGGAGGCAGGTCGGTAGGCGTAGTTGGCGATGAGCGTGAGGAAGGGGATGCTACGGCTGTAGACAGCAAGGCAGGGCTTGCACTGAGCGCATGCAGGTGGCTTGACCAGATTCCCGGCAAACTCCAATAGGAAATCAGCATCGGCAGTGCAGCGAACGATGGGGTATTTCCTCTGCACTAGCGGCCGCAGCTTTGTGAGCAGCTGCTGCAGCAGCCTCTCGTCTAAGTCACACCCCGATTTTCGAACTCTCTCTTCTTCCCCACGTCCTCTGCTTCCCTCCTGCTTGCCCCTCCCTTTGTCTCCTCCCTCCCTCCTCACGGCCCCAGTCTTGCCTCCTGCGTTTGACCTTCTCTCCTCCTGCCCCATGCTCCCCTGCTGGCCCACTCGCTTCCTCCACAATTCCCAGCCGAAAGAATCTCGCACTCAGATCATCAGGAAGCTTCGCAGCAGCTTCATCGCCCTGAGGCCACTCCTCCCAGTCCCAGGCAAAGCTGCCTTGGTCCACAGGCTTGGGGATGCACCGAGCCTGACCAGGAGGCTCGGAAGGTCCCGAAGCGGGTGACGCATGGGCCGGACCTTCCCCTGGGGGCTGTCCTTGCAGCATTGACTAGCGGGGATGACTTCAGAGCCATAGGTGCGGGCCCACTGCAGAACGCAGGCAGCACGATACGTGAAGACGGCAACGACAGGGTTGGTGTTGACAGGAGTTGGGTTGGCAAATGCCGCTGCCACTGCCGATGGTGATGCTGATGCTGTTGTTCCCACACCTCTGCCTGCTGCCCCTCCTTCACCCTGCGCCCTCCGTCTCAGTCTCTCCCTGGCCGTCTCAATAGCCGCATCCTCCACCCATGTCTTGCTCGCAGTGTTGCCATCCTGGAGGTAAAGATTGGTCTCCCAGCGGTACTGTGGCGAGGACAGCACTGAAGCAACGCAAATAGCAAAGTCAGTCGCACCTATGCCACTCACATGCATGCCCTTGGGAATTTCCGTGCCTTCCAGATTGCTGCTGCTGCTGCTGCTGCTGCTGGCACCACTGCTGCTGTCCCCCCCACTACAGTGGCTGCACCTGAACTCCCTCCCTTCCCCCCCTCCATGCTCCAGAATCCAAGCCATGCCATCCACATACCTCTCCCACACATGCCCCTTCAGATGCTCCCTCCACTTCCCACCCTTCCCATCCCTGCCACCCCCACCACCACCGTCCATGGTTTCCCATGACCCTTCCGGGTTCCCATCATTCTCCATCTGCCGTTTACCCTTGCTTGCTCCCGCAACTCCCTTGCCTGCTCCCCCCCACCTCTCTGCATGCGCCTTCTCCAGCCCGCCAGACAGCAGATTCTGCATGGCAACACCGAATCCTTCCTCCAAATCCCTGCTTTCCTTCACCCCGAGAATCTGAACCAGCATGGAAGCAAGAACGTCCTTCTCCCTCTGCCTGCGTGCCCCTAGCGCAGACACGATGGGTGGATAGGCCATGGAAGTCGATGCATGCGCTCTGCATAGATTCACGAACCACGGGCACCTCGCTACAAGCACGAGGAAGGCAGCGAAGCTGACAGCATGGCGGTAGGCAGCCCAGCAGCTGCTGCAGCGCCAGCAGCAGGAGAACACTGCAGAGGAAACAGAAGCAGCAGGGGCAGCAGCTGCAGCAGCAGGGATAGCATTCGTGATAATAGAGACAGAGCCAAGGGGTATGCCTGCGGCGCTTGGAATGTCACTTAGAATGTCAGGCAGGCAGGATCGGATCCTCCCCAGGTCCATGAGCACACCCACACGAGGCTCAGCCATCCACTCGAGAATCATCGTTTCCGCACAGAGCAAAGGGGCCACGTCACACTTGAGTTGAAAGTGCATGTGAGGCGGCACTCCCAGCCGCGCTGCTGCCTCTGGCACGGGAACCTTCAGCGAGAACTCATACACTGCCCGGGTCGGACGCTTGGGAGCGAGGGGGATGGAGAAAGGCTGTGTTTCTCGCAGGTGATATCGGAAGTCTTTGGGACTGGTCATGATGAGGGCGTGCTTTGTGCGCTGGCTCACAGCGTGGTCCAAGCAGCACTCACACACCGCCAGGCCCCACGCGTCGCTCACGTCCAAGTAGTGAACCATGTCCGCCCGACGCAGCAACTGAAGCTTCTCTGTATAATCCTCAGCTCTTGCCCTCTCTGGCCTCCGTCCTTTCCGCTCCTCCATAATCGGCAGATCTTGGGGCTCCCATGTCAAGAGTTGAGGGTTTTGAAGAGTCAGGTCGTCCCATATTGTTCCAACACGCCGAGGAACGCAGGTGCTGGTACTGGCAGCCGCGCCAGCAGCAAAGAGCTGGATCTTGCCCTTCCCCTCACCATTGCTTTCACCTCCTTTTTTTCCTTCTTTCTTCTGCTTATCCTCCTCCTCGTCGTCATCATCGCTGCTGGAAGGGAAATGGTTCCATTTGCTGTAGTCGATATGGTGAGCGGGAGCAGCAGCAGGTGCTGCAACTGCAGTAGCAGCAGCACGAGTAGCAAAAGCAGCGGCAACATGAGGCACGTCTACAGAAGGCATCGCAGGTGGACCACTCGCAGCTGCTGCAACGCCGCCTGGTGATTCTATTTCGCCTGGGCCTTCTCCATGATCCACTGCAGTCACTGGGAGCACTAAGATAGTTGTACCCGTTTTAAGCTTGGCTCGCTGTACTGTTTCCTGGGGAGAAAGGTACGATACCTGCCCAAAAATCATGAAGCGGACGTGCTGCGGTCGAGCGGCATGATCCGCATGGTAAGCAGCAATGTGGCAGATGAGTCTGAAACAGTCTATTGAAGACTGACCCAAGACGTTCCTTAGGGGAAACTGTAACGGAGACGACAGTGTGGGATGATGCGGCTGATGTGTTTTCGGAGGAGCTGTCGTGGCTTCCTTTGATGACGTCACTATGGCTGCTGACGTCACTATTACGGATGGTGCACCCCTCTGTGCTACTGTCGTCGTTTCTATTGTCCTCTGATCCGTGTCGAATCAAATCAGCTGGGATTCTAAATCTGACCTTAAACGCCAAGTTGGACAAAAGCACTCAAAAAATAAAGAAGTGCCTATCGATTAGGGTTTCCTGATCTTGAGCGCCTCAAAACACCAGCTGGGATTCTGAATATATCCTCGAACGTCATGTGCGACAGAGCAAGCAATACTCGAGGATACACATTTCTGGTTCCGTCACGAATGAATGACAGCAATGCGGTATCTGAGACTTCTCCGCAAACCTGTACACGCGCTAACGCGAGGATACAGCTGTGTAAGGGGTTGTCATAAGTATTGGCTTGAAAACTGATGCAACCGTAATAGTTTCTCGTGCAGAACGTCCTCTGAGAGCGGTTTAATCTAACATCCTTCCCTCAAGGCCGCCTCCTTTGCCGCTTCAGAGAGGAAGATTGAGATCGCGGAATGCCTGCGACGCACTCGTGATGCTTCTTCGCTCTGATTAACAAACAGGGTATCGTTTTAACTTTTAAAACGTTTGCAAAGGTTTGGCTAGGCTCAGCTGTTGTTCCTAATCAGTAGCATTATAAGAGCGTGGTAAGGGAAACATATTGAAACCGGCAAAGCTGTGAGTTTACATGACAGCGACGCTCCATTGACGCAGAGAAGTCACTGAATCATGGCTGCTTGAGCATTTGAAGCTAATGTAGTGGAAACAGCGGTAGGCGAAATTTGTTGAATCAGGAGTAGGTTTGGAGGACCTAGGCTAAGAGGTCAAGCAACAAGAATCCTTTTGTCGGGCGAACAACTCACTCGCATCATGGCCCTGTTCGGCAGGCGGATCAAGCACAGGCTCGGCACAGGTTTGTTTGTATCTGCTGGAGTTCGGCAACCAACCAGCTTCCACGAAGCCCCTAAGAATGTCGAGCCACCCCTGTCAAAACCTTGATTTCGCGCTAAAATCAAACCAATCTTTCCCCAACGGATCTTCGAAGCCAAACCAAAGCAAACCATACCAAACCAAACCAGCCGAACCCAAGTAACCAAGCAGAGCCCCTCATTGCCGAACCCCGCATGCACAAACAAGAAATGAGTAGTGCAGCAGCTGCAATAAACCCTTCTCCTTTCTCACTCGCTCCTGCCACTCCTGACATCCATATCCTTCCATAGCAACAACACCTCCTTACTTACATTCGATTCCTCTCTTCTGGAAATGCTTCGGCTTATTTTACTAACAACCAACACTTAGAAACTTCATTGTCTTCTTTTGCAGTAACTAGCAAAAGTATTGACGAAATGTCTTTCAATGTTACGTTTCGGGTCCCACCGAATCTGATTCGACGTAAATCCAAGGATCATAGCAGCAAAAAGAGGCAACGGAATGCTCTAGTAATGGCGTCGTCAGTAGCATGCGTACAGGTAATGCTTGTTTGGCGCACCCAGCTTTGCCTTGTGCTCTGGGCTTATAAGCGGTTTTGACATTTCGCACGGTTCGTACAGGTTCGCCAGAGCCATGACGTGCTCTTAAAAAGCACAGGTTGTTACATGTTTGTTTTTTCCCAAACGGTAGAGGGCGGCTGGTTTTGTTGTTTGTAAGTTGCACGATTACCACTATTTTTTCCGTCCAATATAGCATGCGAGTACACACCCTTCCTCAAATTGTCACAAACAGCAAACCCAACCCACCAGCCAATGAAACACTCGAATTTGTACTCATGCTACTTCCCCGTCATCGTTCTTCGATCGCGGCAATGTTCACAAGATGTGCACATTGCCGGCAGGAGGAGAGTTGAACTCGTCCGAGGGGATTCAAACCCCTTCACAGGCGCATCCATTCGGCGGCTGCCAGGTAGCCTCCCATGACGGCCGGCACACCACCGTCAATCAGCTCCTGGCGGCGCGCCGCCTGCTGAGCCATAGTCACCCACGATGGGGTGGGCTCCGTCATCCATGCCGGCAGCACACGGCCACGGCGACGAGGTGTCTCGCCGATGGCGCGTCGCCCTCACGCAAGGCAGGCGGCGGGGTCATGTTGAGATTAATAGGCGGGCTGGCGCGCTCCATACGCGCCCTGATGATGGGGTTGCGGATGTCGAAGAGCGCGCACAAGTCCCGCGGGGTGATGCTGGTTGCCTTCGCGTAGCCGATGAGCATCTTGGAGGCCGCTCGAGCGTAGCGCCGTGCCTCGCGGGACTCGGGGTTGCTGTCTTCGTAGACGGCTTGCATGGTGGCGGGGGCTTCCCACATCTCCGCAGAAGGCGCGGTAGGCGGCTCGGTCGCGAGCGGATCCTCGCCCGGCTCTGCGCAGGTTGCCTGGTTGTCGTCAATGGCGACCAAGGCCGCTGCCGGCATGGCGCTTGAGCCGAGGCCGAGGTGATCGATGAGGATGCCAACATCCCCGATCTCCTCGTCAAGGCCGATGTCCACATCTCGGCCCACATTGACGGCGTCGTCGCCCACAAGTGGAAGGTCCATGGCCCACGCACGCGACAGGCAGCCGGTGCGCCACCAACAACGCTGGATGGTGCGCACCTCGATGTTCATCCACGCGTCGTTGAGCCAGGCCACGACGTCGCGGAGGTTGGGCTTGAAGCGCGCCACGCACGAGGTAGCTCCTTCCGCATTCCAGCGGGCGGTAAGGCGCGCAGCCAATGCTGCCGGTACCGCGCCTTCGCCATCGCGATAAGCCCCTGATCGAGCGGCTGGGTGAAGCAGGTGGTGTTCGGTGGGAGATACACCAGTCGGACGTTCGAGAGAGAGCGCGTGCGGAACCCGAACAGGTCTTCGGAGGTGGCGCCTCGCGACGTGAGGACGTGGCTGCTCACGTTGTCGAGCAGAATCACAATATGCCGACCCTCGGCATACATGGCTGCGTTCAGCTGCTCGATGAAGAGGGTGAAAAGCTGCCATAGGGGACGAGCAGGTCAAGGCACATGAACATTAGTTCACATTCACATGGTGCATAAGTGTGAAATTCAAGTATAAGTGAGGAAGCATAAGTGTGAAATTCAAACCATAGCGATCATTAACAACTCACCGGTGAGGTCATCCAGCCTTTGGCTGTGTTGCGCTAGTAGCAATGCTCCTCCGGATCAAAGTTAGGGCGGAAGTCATGGGGGTGCTTCGCCTTGGAGATCACCAAGGGGCGGAAAGTGTGCGAGCCGTCGGCGTTGACGAGAAAGCCGACGGTGAGGCGGTCTTTCACTGCCTTCCTGCCCGCCACACGGCTAGCGCCGTACGCCCATCGCTCGGACTCCTTCAGCACTCGGCCAATGGTGCTGCGATCAGGCCTCATGCCGAAGCGGGTGAAACACCAGCGGCTGAGGTCGACGTGGCGCAGCTGGGGGTTGGCGACATGGTGGGCGCAAATCGCGCGTTTGATATGCACAGCTAACTGGCTGCGGTGGTAGAGACGAGGCATGGTAAGCTACTGTGGGTAGGAGAGAGTGAATGTCGAGTGAAATTGGCTGCCTTTTTGAAGGGATTTTTTGTGCGCCTTAATGGGGCTTGAAGGTGCATTCTCAATGGCAATTGGTCAGCAGCACATCAGGAAGCACACATGTACGTGGCTTTGAAATGTGGCGTGGGGAATTGGTGTTACCACAACCACTATGTGTGACGTGTGAGTTTTGAACAACACTTGGTTGTCAATGTGTTTGTACCGAGCTTGGGCAAGGTACACGTCAATGTGTTTGCACCTTTCCTAAGATGTGTTTGACGCACCATGAACCTCCCTACGTGGCAGCCAGTCATCTGCGAAGTGACGCGAGATGTTAACGGAGTTTCAGCCTGTCATTTCGCGATGCTTGTTTTTGGCCAAGAAACAAGGCAGACCCCGGTAGACTTGGTCTGTCTTATGCTCGTGGTTGACTGTTTTGGCGTTCACCAACCCACATGCAAGTTGTTTGGGGTGCTTGTAGACGGGGTGCAACCTATAGGGAACCTCGACATCGCGGGCAGGGCATCTAAAAGGTGCAAGGCATTTTCGCGCGCAAGAGGTGAGCATTACCTGTACGTGAACGTTTACATACCAGCTTCTCCAATAGAGCCGCTTCGATTAGTCTTCAATAGACTGTTCCAGTCCCATCTTGTCAGAATATTATCTTATTGTTCTAGCCTGTAGTGGGGTGCTCTATAGCGAGTACAACCCTTCTAGGGTTTGCTATTTGTATCCTCATTCTTGCTAGTTCAATCCTCTTTCTTTCTGTAACTTTGACATGCTATCAGAGCAGGTCGATCCCCTTGGATCGATCCTGTGGGTGTGTCCCCACCTTGCTTCCGCTGCTACCTTTCCTTCCCGCCGTGCGCCCCGAGGCGCGCGGCGATTTTTTTTTTCCTTCCCGCCGTGCGCCCCGAGGCGCGCGGCGGTTTTCTGCCCGCCGTGCGCCCTAGGGCGCGCGGCGGTTCTTTGCCCGCTGTGCGCCCCGAGGCGTGCGGCGGGCGTCTGCTCTACGTCGCGGCCCCGCCCTACGTCGGGCTTCTCCCCTACGTCGCGGCCCCGCCCTTCGTCGCGGCCCCGCCCTTCGTCGCGGCCCCGCCCTATGTCGCGGCCCCGCCCTGCGTCGCGGCCCCGCCCCTCGAAGCGACCCTGCCCCGACCGTCGCGGCCCCGCCCCGACCGACACGGCCCCGCCCTTGTCGCGGCCCCGCCCTACAGTCGCGGCCCCGCCCTACAGTCGCGGCTCCACCCTACGTCGCGGCTCCGCCCTGCGTCGCGGCCCCGTCCCTTCGAAGCGGCCCCGCCCCTTGTCGCGGCCCCGCTCTCCTCTCAGGTCCGTCGTGGGCCCCACTCTCCCCCCCCCCCCCCCCCCCCCCCTCCCCCTACCATTTCCCGTCGCCCGTCGCGGCTCCTTCGGGGGCCGCAAGCGGCCCCCTCAGGTCGCCACGACGGACGACGGGAGGGGCGAGCTGTGGGGTGGCGGGTATGGGGGTGGCCGGTGTGCCTTCCTCCCTTTCTCCTCCTCCTCCTTCGTCTCCCACTGCTGCAGCTGTCGCTGAGGGGGGTGGTTGTGTGGGAGACTGGGTTTAGGGTTTTAGGGGGGTGCGTGGGAGTAGAGCTAGTGGTGTAGCAGTGGGTGTGTATCAGGGGGGTGGGACTGTGTGCGGGAGGATGAGCGGAGGTTGCCAGTTTGTCGTCAGCAGCACCTGTAGTCCGGGGCGCTGTCCCGGTAGCCCAGTCGTAGCCAGCTGTGCCAGCCGCCCGTGGGTCCGTTGCCCGTCCGCCGCTATTTGAGCCGCGGGGCCTGTTACCCCTGTAGTCCGGGCGCTGTCCGGTAGCCGCTGTGCCAGTCTGCCTCCTGTTGCCCGTGTGTCTGCAGCTTCAGCCGTCGCCTCCTGTCTCCTCTCCCCTCACTCTCCCTCCTCCTCCTCACTTGCCCGTTGTGACTACCACTAGCTTTGCTTATAATTGTAAACTCTAAACTATTTCTTCTTGAACTTGTGCTCAGAATGTGTGGTGACATTGTGATCCACCCTGAGCTTGTTTTGCTTTGCCTGCTCTGCTGATTACACCCCACTTTGGCTATGGGGGTGTGTCAGAATATTATCTTATTGTTCTAGCCTGTAGTGGGGTGCTCTATAGCGAGTACAACCCTTCTAGGGTTTGCTATTTGTATCCTCATTCTTGCTAGTTCAATCCTCTTTCTTTCTGTAACTTTGACACATCTGCCAACATCGCAAAACAGTGGGGAGGGGAATGTGTGTTGCGGGAGTCTTGTTTGTAACTTCCTCGTTTAGTAGGGGTTGGGAATCATGCGATACTGTTTCTCGCATGTGGCATGGGAGTGATGTTAGGGTGTTGCCTGTTTTTTGAAGTGGTGCGCGTGTTTCTCGGCACTTGATGTCAACTCCGCAGCTCAGCTGAACAGTTTCGTAGCAGCAAACTGTTTATTCGCGCTTTTCACATTTCATGAAGTTGTAACAAACAGTGCTATTAAATTTAGATTGGTAATTTTATATTTTTTTTGTCAATACGCTTAGTATTATAATTTGGTGGATATTGAGATATTCGTTGAAACAAAAAATCTTTCAAATGCTAGTTTAAAGCTTGTTGTGTAATTTCAAATTATATTATTACATTTTTTATATGTTTATAATATTACCAAATGCTTGGTAGTAGTTGATGTATCAGCATTCTGTGAGAATTAGAACGAGAATGATTGAACTATGAAACAGTTGGGTACAAGTACTAACCCTAATTGGGTTGTACCCCTTATGGGCTACCCCACTACAGCCTACACAGATGTATAAGCTATAATGTTCTGACACATTCTTGTATACAGTTGAGTTTTTAGCATTTTATAATCACACAATAAATTACTTCATTCTATTCCCTATCTATAGGAACTGGATTGAGCTCGTTCGCCCAGCTACACAGCTCGTTTGTGCGTTCGATGGCATGAATCTGTGCAATGGTCGGCCAGTGCGCAATTCGTCATCGTTTCAACGTCTAGATGCTTTTTTTAGCCCTATTTCTTCACACCTTTCCCTATTTAATCATATTCCCTAGCTATAGGAACTGGATTGAGCTCATTCGCACAACTACGCAGCACGTGACGCTTGTTTGTGCGTTTGATGGCATGAATTTGTGCAAGGATAGGTCAGTGCGCAACATGTCACTGTTTCAACATCTGGATGTTTTTTTTAGCCCTATTTAATCACATATTTCCCTAGTTTATCCATTTCCCTATCCATAGGAACTGTTTTGAGCTCATTCGCACAACTACGCAGCACGTGACACTTGTTTGTGCGTTCGATGGCCTGAATCTGTGCAAGGATAGGCCAGTACGCAACATGTCACCATTTTGTCAAGGTGAGAGAGGAATGATGTCGACTAGTTTGGGGCATGGGGTACAAAAGTGACGAGAGAAAAGTTGTACCCCCTAAGAAACACCCCTACAAAACCTAAACCTAAATTATATAGATCATATAATTTGACACATTTACTCATCCATATGGTTTTGTAAACCCTATTCCTTCACATAGTTCCCTAGTTTATCCATTTCCCTAGCCATAGAAGCTGGTTTGAGCTCATTCGCACAACTACGCAGCACGTGACGCATGCTTGTACGTTCGATGGCCTGAAACTGTTCAAGGATAGGCCAGTACGCAACATGTCACCGTTTCATCGTTTGGTTGTTTTTTTCAGCACCATTTCTTCACATATTCAGGTACTCTAGTCAATTAAATTGCCATAGGAACTGGTTTGACATAATTCGCACAACTACGCAGCACGTGACGCTTGTTTGTTTGTTCGATGGCCTGACACTGTGCAAGGAAAGGCCAGTACGCAACATGTCACCGTTTCAACATATGGATGTTTTTTTTAGCCCTATTTATTCACATATTTCCCTAGTTCATTCATTTCCCTAGCCATATGAACTGGTTTGAGCTCATTCGCACAACTATGCAGCACGTGACGCTTATTTGTGCGTTTGATGGCCTGAATCTGTGCAAGGGTAGGCCTGTATGCACATGTCACCGTTTAATCGTCTATATGGTTTTTTTAGCCCTATTTCTTCACATGGTTCCCTAGTTTATCCATTTATCTAGCCATAGGAGCTGGTTTGAGCGCATTCGCACAACTACGCAGCACGTGATGCATGTTTGTACGTTTGATGGCCTGAAAATGTTCAAGGATAGGCCAGTACGCAACATGTCACCGTTTCATCATTTGGTTGGTATTTTTACCACCATTTCTTCACACATTCAGGTATTTCAATCAATTACCTTGCCATAAGAACTAGTTTGAGCTCATTTGCACAACTACGCAGCACGTGACCCTTGTTTGTGTGTGGGTTGGGGCGTAACGGTGCAATGATAGCAGAATATGGCTTCCTATCCAAGACATAGCATGGAAAACCTATCTAGCCTTATTGGATTGATCGGAAAATGATAGGAGGGTCTATATATAGTGTCAGAGACTCTCATATAATTTGTAGAGCATTATGACAAGGTTTGATTGGTTGTTTGCACTAGAACACAATAACAGGCAATCTTGCACAAGATTCTAGCTTTCATTCCATAACATTGCATGGCAAACCTACCTAGCCTTCATGGATTGATCTGAAAATGATATGGTGGTGTTAAATTAGTGTCATGAGACTCTCCTGATTTTTATGACAAGGTTTGGCTTGTGGCGGGAACTAAAATCCAAAAGCATGTAAATCTGCTGCAAAATCTGACTTCTCTCCATATCATTCCATGGAAAGCCTAACTATCTTTTGGATTTACCTGAAAATTGTAGGGGGGTCTTTCAATAGTGTCAAGAGACTCCTCAATGAATTACAAAGCTTTA